TACCCAAGGTTACTTTCTTTTCCTTGAACATGATCGATCGATTTCTAGCAAATATACCGTTCAAGGAGCTCTTTTATTTTTTAATTTATTCCTTCCTTTATAACCCTAAGAGTAAGAGATTGAAGAAACTTAGCAATTCCTAAGAAACATTCGTATTTAAATATTAATATATTAATGGTATAAATGGAAAAGTCCCTTTTCATAAATTAACTAATACTTGTAACATATAATGATTATTGTATTTACATTGAATTATAAGAATACATCTGTTCAGTAATTATCAATAAATCAATTCTCTTTTTTTTCCACGAACAAATTACAACCGTAATTAAATTTATCAATTGGATGATCTTTTGTTTTTTTTACAACATTTCTTACTTAATAAATATGCATAGAGAAAAAAGGAAGAGACTATTTGAATAAGATGGTTTAAATATTTCATAAATATTTTAAAGGTTTTTAAGCATATTTTTTTCAATGTAGAAAGAAAGAAAGAAAGAAAGAAAGAAAGAAAGAAAGAAATAAAGAAAAAAAAAAAAAGAGAGAGAGAGAGTAAAACGTAAAAAAAAAAAAGTTAAATGAATCTGAATTCGTACGTTTACAAATTAACCCTTTTAAAACCAATCAATGGAATATATTTAATTATATCAGACTTCTTGTAACTCTCTTTTTTTATCGAAAGTAAAAATTGATTTTCTAAATTGTATTCTCTATATATCGAGTGTATATACTGTATATATATCTATATAATTTATATATATAGCTCATAGAAAAGGAAAATCGTTAGTAATATTCCAAATGTGCACATAATTTTTTAACTTATGATGTTAATATGAAAAAAAAACACCACGCTTCTGGTTTCTATTACAAATATTAAATATACTGATAAGGATTAAGACTTTTTAGTGACTTTTACAGATTTTATAAAATCGACTTCAAACTACTTCTTCATTAAATATGTAGAGAAAAAAACGAGGGATAGATAATAAAACCAGTGTTTTTAATGCTCTCCAACCAGTAAAACAATTCTAGCGAGAGACGGAGACAAATTTGAACTAATTTCATATTTAAAAGTTGTTTCATATCTATATAGGTTACAGTTGCCGCATGTTTATTAATGTTTTTAAACATATCGAGACCTGAAGAATTTGCTCGGTCACTCTTCAACTTCTATTGTTTCTTTCATTAAGTGCTATTTTGTAATAAAAAGCTCTGTAATTCTTGCTACAAAGTATAACTGTATGAGGAAAGACATGAGTTGCAGGCAAAGATAAATCCCTTGGAATATCAATGTGGACCTCTGTCTTCCTTCTTGTCTTTACTAATGCTAATATAGTTTTTTCTTCACAGAAAAGTTCTCCTGAAATTGTAATACTGTCTCCTATTGAGTGGTGCTTAAGTAAAATTTGTTTCTCTTCCAGACATTATGACAATCTTAGGCCCAGTCATAAGGCCACCAAGATCGAATTTCCTTTCGTCAGTAAATTTGCGATTTTCTTTCTGATGTCTGTATCAGATATTGAATTTAAAAGGCATTTAAGAAGCATCATACTATAGCTTACTGTACACAATACTAGGAAGGGAGTAAAAACTTCAAGGTTATCTCATTTTTCTGTTATCATCTATTAAATTACAAAAAATGAGTGATTATTTATGAAAAGAGAAAATTTATATGCAAAATTCTATAAATAAAATATAAATACTATATATACTGTATACAAATTATACTAATTTGTTGATATTAACTCTTTAAATTAGGAAAAATTTTAATTTTTAAGTCTATTTGTAGTTTATAATGAACAAAGTATAAAAGTCATCTTTATGGACATTATCTATTAAAGTTAAGAACTAACCTGTAAGGAGTTGTAGAAGAAGTTAAGAGAAGGAAAAACTAATTTTATATTACTCTTCACTATTCGTTTTGTTTAATACTTTAATGATTGTTATATAAAAAAGAAAATATCAGAATTTTCCATCAGGTTAGTAGACGTTTAGTCTCTCTTTTTATTCTTATTCTTCTTACGCGACAGTCTTTAAAGGTCTGGAATTTGCAGATGATGACTAACTACTTAAAACTACAAATATACCATTTGTAATTAAGTAAATAAATACTAAAGATGTTTGTGTTACTTTTATTGTTTTCAAAGAAAACATTATATTTATTCAACGTAAGTCTTTTATTATATTTATAAAAGAATTCTTATACAACTTATTATTACAAAGTATAAGTAGACAAAAGAGTAAATAGGGATATAAGGCTGTTTTGAGTTTAGCTATTCGAATGAAAGATATGAGAAAAAAAGAAATATAGATAGATATAATTTGCTATTTTGAAGAGAAAAGAATTAATTTCGTCAGGTTTTTCTCTCTTTAGCAGGGAGTTTCTTTTAAAGCTCATCTTTTATATTTATAACGAAACCGATCAATAAGTATTTGCATCTTCTACAGCCTTGTTTGCCTTGTTTGCAATTCGAAGAAGGTATTGGAAAAAACTACTAGAAAAAGGTAAAAAAATATAACTTACCCGCACAAAAGTAGTATAATCTTTTGAAAAGAATAATCCCGCTTTAACAGTAACGAACCCCTAGGAAAGACTAAGACCTATATGTTATTCATTGTTTTCTCTTCTCTTCTTTATCTTAACAATTAGATTAACCTATTTAGACAAAATTACGCAATATGAAATTAATGCAGTAAGAAAAATTATATAAAAAACACATTTAAGTATAAAAGTAGAGCATAAATATAGGTATTTGACTTTTAATAAAGTATCCAATTAAAGATCAAATTCAACTGGAATAGGAATAAGAATCCTTAGGCTGGGGATGATTGAATTTCTGACTATTATTTTTGTGTGAAACGTTTTTACGGTTTCTATCTTTCTATCGATCTGAACATTTCTCACGGAAATTGACAAAAGCAATGTAACAGGAGAAAGAGAGGAAAGATGAGATTTGAAGTAATTTATTGATTAAATAATATATATAAATATATTACTAATATATATATATATATTAATTGCCAAAAAAGACGTCATTAAATTCTAGAATTAATTATATAAAATTAGATTAAATTATAAAAGCTAGACGGAGAATGAGTTAATTTGTTGCATATTGTTTTATTGAAGTTCGTTTATGAATAAGAAAATAAAGCAGAAAATCAAAGATAGAATAAATAGAACTTAATTGGGTTGGTAAAGAATTTAATCTTTGAAACAAAAAGAAAATACTATATTTACCACGATTGTAAAATATAGAGGATACTCCCTCTTCGCTTCTATTCCCACATCCTTCACTCAATATTTCCCAAGTTATAACCCGAAAAGGACATCAATTACACACTTAATAGCCTCTGAAAGTACACTCTCAGTATTTCGTTTATTCTATAATTAAAATATTTAATTGCTTGTCTTCCGCTTTGATGTTTTTATGTGATTGTATTATATCATTTTTGACCTAAAGCGATAATAATTACATCTAAAGCCTATATATTACCAAAAGGGATAAAAAATTCGAACTTACTTAACCCAAAAACCTTCAAGTGTATTGAAGATGACAAACTATGGTGCAATGTTTTATGAATATAACAGGTTTATTTCAATCATATATTGTTATATATAAATTTATATATATTCTAATATGTAAAAGTTTATGAAATATCAATCAACACTCTACTTATCAAGTCTTCTACATCCTCTTTTAAAGTAAAAAAATATAAAAATATAGGTCAGAGTATTACAATGAATAATCTTACAAAATTATTTCTATATTGATTTATTATGGGATGAAGCATCATTATATATATGTATATATATATATATATATTTGTATACATGTATATATATATATATATAAAAGTTAATGAAAGCAGGCAGATGGATAAATTAATATAGTTGTGAATTCAACCGATATGGATGAGAATTTGATACAAAAAAGAGGATAGTTACACAAGCTATATTTCATAGTGTACATCGTTTGTTTTATATACTATGTTATTTTGTAAAATAGATATTAAGATGGATATAAGAATCTTAGCGTGTTAGAAATGCTGAGACAAATACACCTCGAGCATTAGAAATTTCTTAGAAACAAGTTGCAATTTTATTAAAGAGGAGTCGTAATATTTGAATATTGAATTACATACAAAAATCACTTTCCTATTTATATGTTAACTGAAATCAATGGAAAAAATAGCTTACTTTTGCTGTTACAACATCCTTCTTATGTCTTTCTTAAAATAAAGTCTAAAAATAGATAATAATTAACTTAAAGGATAAACTTCTCTTTGTTCCCTTTAATTTTTAATTTAGACATTAGAAACATTGGAATTTTCTGAAGTTGGGTACTATTTCAATCTGCCCTGTTTTGCTAAAAAAAATCTAGGGAGGTTGATGAAGAAGCTTAAAAATTTAACAAGATTATTCACACAAATTATCACACATATATATATCTAAGTGACACATATTTATATACTGTATTTATAATTTAAACCTATTTTGCAATTTTTAATCTAATTTATGAAAAATGAAAAGTAAACTATAAAGAACAAGGTAGGGCGCCATCTTTCGTCTCTATGGAATATGTAGGAGTACCGGTGTTGGCACAAAGTTTTATACAACACATTCTTTATTCTACAATATTTACATAGTAAATCGTCTATTGTCTATATAAATAATTTTTGTTTTTTATATCATATGACAAAACGGCCTACTTAAAACTGATGATTTAAGTATGTAACATATTACAAAGTATAAACAATATTTTACTCTATTTATTCTATCATCAAATGATGATTTAAATTTATAATTTGTTATTTACCTTATAGGGAAATAATACTTTTTCGAGATAGCATCATTTTGAGACACTCAATAGTAGCAAAAACATTATCAAAGTAATTTATATAAAATATATATTGATCGAAGATTTCGTGTTGAAATCGAACTCAATTACGTCTTTAGAACAAAGTTTGAGAGATAAAATAGGAAATTTTAAAATGAACTTTCAAGGTTTAATATCTAAATAATCATGCTTGCTAACACAGTCTCTTTTCCCCTCGGTATCAGTATAGCTATCGCTTCTTATTGTTAAATAATAAGTTGAGTTACGATTTTTGTCGTCGTATTCGGTTCTAATGCTCAAGTAGCTGGCCACTTCTGCTCTCTCTCTGCTGCAACTGTTTTCATTAGCCCTCCTCATAACATTGCAAACATTTTCATAAGAATTTTCTGTGACATTGCCAACATCGGTACTAGAACAATTTTTACTTGAGTTGTCTTGAATATCTTCATAAACATTTCTTCTTCTAGTGATAGATCTCAGTTTAAGCTTACGAATTTCGCCTCTTCTTTTCACTATTAGAGTTATACTCAATATAAATAAGGCAATTAAAACAAGGGCAAGTATAGAAAATGAGATAACCATAGTCTTGGTGTCTTTAGCTTCTAAGTTCTCTATAGTTCCAAATGTTGAAGAAGAAATTACTTGAGTAGAAGTTTTTATAAAATTAGGAGATGATGTTGTTGATTTGAATTTTGAATGCGTGGATAATTTTAAAGTATAAGGAGATGAAATTGGAGATGTATGATTAGGCCAGTGTATTGAGAAAAAGGTTGGGAAAAAGCTAGCTAAATATTGAAAAAAAGATGAATATAAATTAAAAAATAAATGAATAGTTTTCACCCGTTCTTAACATATATATACACATACACACATACACACACACACATATATATATATATATATATATATACATTATATATAGAAAGTTTTAATTTTATAGTATATTTTATACAGTTTATAGGTAAATTAGTGTATAACATATCACAAAGATATCGAACATATTAAATAAAATGTAATTGATAATTTACTATGTGAAAGTCTAAAATTTCAATTGTAAGACATACGTGGTTTGGTCCAGAAGAATCTTCTTATTACTACCATTTTGAAATATCCCGTGATACTAAATATTCATAATAAAAAGTTTTTACATATATAGGCACTAAACATTCTAGATAAGAATCACTATAGAAATAAAATGATTCAGTATTCATATTGAAAATCAAGTAAGCGTTATCTTTCAACACGTAAATACAACTCACTGACATGCCTACATTATGGTTGCAGTAAATTTTAATAACAAAATACCTAAGAGAATCTAGAATTGTTTCATTAGTTTGCCTTGTCAACTCAAAAACAGAAAAAGGTTCAGCTGTTACCTCCTAGATTTTCTGTCACCTTATAGTTGATTAATTATTTTTTTATTTAATTATTCAGCCGGATATAAGATCCGAATTGGCAAGAAAATAGGGAGGAAATATGATTCTTAAGAGTAGAAGCATCAAGAAGTTTATAGTCCATTGACAATTTGATCTAGTTCTTCATATATATTTTATGCGTTTAAATAAAACTGATTAAAAATGTGCAAATTATAGTTTCCTATCACTAACATAACAATAAAAATGAAGATCATTGTCATAATATATGCATAATATTAAAACGTAACTAAGTGATTTTATACTTAACTGATGATTAAACTAGAGTAAAACATTTATGGCATTGTTTATATTTTATAGTCATAATACTGTATTTCGGTTAATATTATATGAATTTTTATACTTCTTTAAGAATTATTGCGTGACTTTCTACAATGGGATTAAGTCGTTTTTTTAAGTAGAAAATAGACTCCGTGAAGACCGAGAGATAATCTAGTTTAGTTTACTAATGTGACAAGAAAAGAAAAATACAATTATATTGATAGATGATTTAAAAAATATTCATTCTATTGTTATTATTTTTATTTCAAAAAAGAAGAATAAAGGGAATAGTCATGCTTAATTCTTCTATAAAATTAAGAAGAATAAAAAGAATAATACAATCGCGAGGTAATAGTTTAATCTAATTTTTAAATCCTTCTCGGTTAATTTGTGTTGTTTGTTGTTATTTATTCTTAAAATTTAGACACTGGGACTGGGGAACTTTATCTATATTTTTAGGAACGGATGACCAGATTGTGTTATTCGTACTCATTGACAAGAACACTCATTAAACTACTACAGACTCTTTTACTCAGCTAACAGTTTAACCAAAAAAGGGTATGGTTTCTCTTTTCTGTTTCATAGTAGCCTTACAAAAATCAATATCTGAAGGGAAAAATATAAATATTCTATTTATTTTATTATAAAATAAGACCTAAATATTCTTTTACTATTATTAAATAATCTTACCTTCCATCATTTTCGCTTCTTTAACGTATCCAAGAGACTCCTAAAGACAACTTTGATTTCATTTGGTATTTCTATTTAAAAAAATAACTTACCAATTCCTTAGCTCGAATTAAGCATAAAATCAGAATTTTGAACTCATCGTTATAATTAAGACCAACATTTTCATCAATTTCACCAGTGGAAAGCACTTTTCCAACAATAATATTGATCGTAAAAGCCAACGTGAAAACAAGGAGAGAAGCGCTGAGAATCTTCATTATTTGTCTTCTTTTCTTAGACGCTTCAAGTGGAAATGAAGCGCCACAGAATACGATGGCCTCACTAATGGGACGTTGTCATACTGCCTATATCTAGTTTGTAGTCTTGTTGAGAAATAGAATAATTTTTATTTTACCTAATTTCGAGTTTCAATGTATACAGTGCTTTTTTGTAAGTACTGACCATATAAATATAAATGCACTATATTAAAACTTTTTACATAATAGCACTATTGAAAACAAATAATTTGTACGTTTTATAATAGAAATATACAATTAAAAGTTGTCTCAAAATGCAAGGTACAGTAAAATATTGTACTCTGAAATAATATTTGTGCTTTAACTTCAAGGTAGAAACTACTCAATTGGTATCTCTCTATTCTAAAAAGAAAGACGAAGGGATACCTTGATAGTTAATGAATACTTTGAGTCTTTAAAGAATCACAACGTTCTCATTAATATTTAAAAATAACTTTTAAATTCTATTAACAGTCATGTGTGGAAATCTTTTCAAGAAATGACAACATTTGTAAGATAATTGCTATATTCTAAAATCTATATAACTATAATAGTTGAGGAGAATGCGTGACCACTTCTCAACAGGTAATTAAAGTACGAAAAAAGTTCGATAGATTGATGTAATCCTACTTTTAACCATCCCTTATCTAGATTATCTTGTTTAAAAAATATTCTTGTTTTACATTCAATGAGTTCTACCAACAAAATATATTATAAATATAAAAAGACAGTACTATCTTCGAACATATACAAAGCTAGCTTATAATAAAGTTATTAAAATATCTTCTATACTCTGTATTGAACTTTGGCCATTGAAGTAATAAAATATATAATATATACGGTATATAAAGTTATATATATATATATTAAAGAACATTTTCCTATATTATATTTATAATACATGTGTATTTGAGGTAACAAAGGAAAACGTCTGATGCGAAACGTATAACCGCTTGGACATTAAAATTCAAGCAGGTCTGTTTAAATAAACAACCATATCACCATCCTTCGGTCACTGTTTCATATGAAATATCATTGGTCTAGTTTAGTCCATGTTGTATGTGTTCTTTAGCCAAAAACTGGTGGCTAATTTCCAGGTATTGATTTTCAACATAATGGATTTGCAACGATAATTTAATGGCAAATGGACAGAATTGGTAGAAGAAAACAAGATTCTAAACAATGAAATAAAGCTACGAAAGGAAGGCAGAAACAATTAGGAATATTACCATAAATAAAAGTGAAATATGGATACTCAGGATACAATCTGTTGCAGACTGCTAACATGCTTAAAGCGTTTGTAATTAATATCAAATTCTTCTTGTCAGTGCATATGAAAACTTGTACAATGAAAATAAAAGAAACCTATTGAATCAAACTTGTGATGGCTAAATCTCTTCTGTCAATAGCTTAACGCAAAAGAACACAAAAGCGCTATATTAGATTACGGGACCACAGAAGGATAATATGTTGTTTAATTAGATGTTTGTTTGAATTGGACATTCTATTCCCTTTGCTGTAGATATTCATGTATACATTTGCTTCTATTTATATTCACAATATGTAACAAGAGATATAAAATGTTCACATGTAGCTTTCTTTATTAATTTATTGAGATAGCATGGTTTGTTTATTGAAAAGTCTATTTCTATTATTTTCAATTTTAACTCGGAGAAAACATCTTCAATGAAAATAAAAAGAAAATAAACAATCAAACAAAACATCTTGTTTGATAGAATTATTTTTTTTAATGAATTAATCATTTACACGTAAATAAGTAAATATTTCAGAACCGCAACGCATATATAATCAACAGAACTTATAGACAATCAATTATAAGTTCATTACTATTACTAGAATAGTATGGATATGAATGAATAGAAGCTATAAAGTTGACGTTGTTGAACTGAAATATCTATGTAATTATAAGGTTAATACTTTTTTCTACTGCAGTATGACAATCAAGAAAAGAAATGAATTTTTTTCATAAAATATTTTCTTTTAATCAGAACAGCACCAAAGTAGTCTAACGAGACGTTGTTATTGGCGAACGATGAGACGGAAGAGCATCCTGAGTTTTCAGTTGTTCTAGTCGTTGATTACGCGATAGGGTTACGTTAATTTTTTTCTGCGTTAATTCAGCCCTTAAAGCTCTCTGTTCAGTTTCAGCTTGGTGGCGAAGCTAAGAAATACAAATTAAATATTTTAGAACAATATTACATAGCTTATTCTTTTGTCTTCTAAAGCTAAGAAGGAGGATACAAAAATAATGTTTATCATATTACTTTCATTTCTGCTGTAAGCTTCATTTTAATATTTTCGATTTTTCTGTGTAAATCGTCTATAAAGTGCTGAGTCCTCGTTGCTTGCAAACGCAAGTTCATCTATAAAAGATTGAAAAAATGAAATGAGTGAGAAATATACACAAATCCTTTCTTTACATATAATTTATATAAATATACAGCATGTCTATCTATTTCTCACAGTCTATTAATTATAAACAATAATAAAATAAAAACATTAATTTTATTAATAGACAATGAAAAGTTTTTACTTTTATTTTTGCAAATTATAAAGTGCTCGTTAATATTTATAAACAAAAACAATTTTCTGTTATTGTGTTAAATGTGCAAAAACACACAACTACCTGAACCGAGGTGCGGGAAAAAATGGTGATTCTGTATTAAAATGAACTTAACAAAACTAAAGAATAAACAAACTTTTTTCTATAAAATGCTCAAAGTTGTCCTTTTAATAGATTAATATTACTATTAATATAAATATTAATAAGTCATTAATAAATTTATAATCAAAATATTGTTAATAATATGCTAGAAAAGGACTATTTGAAAAAAGTTTAGTATCAAAATATATATATATATATATATATATATATACATTATATATAAATTTATACAGTATATATATATATACATAATGTTTATTGAAATATCTCTTTACTTACGTGTTCGGACGGCTTGTCCAGATTTAATTTTCTTCCATCCTTCTCCCTTCCTTCCATCTGTATCATAAGTCTTTTATGTGTAGATTCCAATTCCAGCTTTAACTTTGCACATTTCTCCTCAATTGGTGGAGTTTTCTTCTTTTGCTCATAGTATTTTTGTTTCCAAATATTTTTTGCCTGATCTCTCCTGTTAGTAAACTTTGAATGCAGCAGCTTGCATTTACGCATTAATTCTTCTCGTTTTAATTCAATCTCTTCCCTCTCTTCTCGAATTCTTTGAAGTTCCGCTAGAAGGCGATTTTCTACAAATATTATTCATTAAATATTTATTAACAGACATGATTTTATTAGCTTGTATTACTTTCGTTCACTTTATCTAATCTTGGCGAAGGCGGAGGTGGCGTGGGCGTCCTCTAAAAAAGCACGAAATTCAAAGATTAGTCGTTAACTATAACCCACTGTTTCGATTAATCTTTTAAGTTATTAAAGAATTAAGAAGTAGTTAGAATAAAAATCAATCAAAATCATAAAAAATGTTTTTGCAAAATAAAAAACAACTATGTGCGACAAAAATCAATTTTCGACTGTGATCTCGTTCTACCTTCACGGTGGTGTGGACTTGCTCTTTTTTATTAGATTTTCTAGATGATGTAGGAAGTGGTTGAGTTGGCAAAGTTTCAGGTTCTGGTTCTGGCTTGTGTAAAGTTTCTATTTTTTTAGGATTAGGAATAATACTTTCGTTTGGTTTCTCTAAGGGAGGGTCTTTATGTTTCAATTCAACTATTTTTTGAGAAGGAGATGGTTCTGGAGTTGGTGGAGAGGGAGGAAGACGAGGAGGAGGAGGAGGAGGAGTTGGATTTGATGGAGGTGGTGTTGGTGATCGTTGTTTTGGCGCGGACTGTAAACTTAAATTGGGTTTTGGCTCTGGTTCTGGTTCTGGTTTTGGTTCCGGTTGAATAGGCGGAATTGGTGATTGTTTAATAAGTTCTGGAGTCTAATGAATACATTACTTTCTTTAAAGTTTTAAACTCCACGAAACAAATTTTTTTCAAAGAATCAAAAAACTTTTGTCAAAATTTAAAAAAATAACCTCGTTTTTTCTAATACCCATTATTTTATAGTAAAAGACTAATTAAAAGAATTGGATTCCTACCTTCCTCCTCTTTAATCTTTCGAGCTCCTCAAGCTCTCTCTGTCGACGCAACTCTTCTTCCAAAGCTCTTCTTCTGCGCTCTTCTTCTTCTCTTAAGCGTCTGTAATAGACAAGATTATAATTGTCAATATAATTTTAATTGCCAATTTATTGTGTGCATTTGAATACATATAATTTGGGAATTGATACGAACAATTATTGATATATAGGTTGTTAATAACTACTGATAATAAATTTAAACTATCTAATTCTTTCTTCAGCTACATTCTTACTTATTCTTGGATTGTTCCATTTAGAATAAGGATTTAACTGGAAATCAAATAAAGTGAAAATATTTACGAAAATAGATTGAAGCTTTTAAAAAGAAGCTTTACAAGACAAAATAATATTTTAATATTGACCTTAACTCCTCCAGGCGTCTCCTCTCCGCATCCTCATCAATATATTTCGGGGAAGGAGTCCTTGGAGGTGTTGCACTGACGGGTGGTAAATAGGAATTCTGGACAGGTGGAGTACCTACAAGAAACATTGATTCCTCCACATATTCCTCAGTTTGCACAGCGTAGTTTCGCCAACGCTGTTCAGGGCTCTGAACGCGCATTGTTTGAACGGCAATGTCGCTATTTTTTGGCATAATTGGTGTTTGAATTGGACTTCTATAGTAAGTTTGGGTAGACTGGGATTCGTGACTAGTTTTAATTGGAGTTTCGGAATGTAGTTTCGGAATGGATGGTGATTTATAGAGAACACCATTTGTTTGTGTCCCTATTGAATACTTGTTAATTGGTGATCTAACAGGATGTCTTTCTACTTTCCAATTGCCTAAAAAGTTTCGTTGAAGAAAAATTTGTTGAATTTTTTTTACAAAAATAGATATTTTTCATTGAATATCCGAAAATTGTTGACAGATGACACTAGTGTCTGTTGTAATTTGTTTCATATCAAAAAAGAAAGATTTGATTAATAGCTATTGAACTCATCTAGAAAAGAAGATAAATCCTATTAAAACAAGATTTTAGCACGTTAACATTATTTATCAATAAATCATTATTGTTTCACTCTATTTGAAGAGAAGAAAAATATTTCTTTTTCTATCTTCTATACATGAATAAAGAAATATCGAAGAAAAGAAAACTATTTTAAAACATACTTGAATATTCATCATATGAATATTTATAAAAAAAAATGGGGGGTTAGATTAATAATTACCTTCTACTGAGTGTTTTCTTTTCAAAGCTTAAAAAATCAATTTCTATCAAAATATTGATTAATAAGTAAAAATGTTAGTTTATACAGTATATGAAACGAATATAGATTCTTTTATAAAGTTAAGTCGATTTTGTGTTCTGTCATCAATTTTCGGACTAAAAATTGTCAAAAAAAACTGGAAAAATTCCATCAAAAGTGTTTTTTTTTCAAAGTTAAAAAAAAAAGAAAGTCAAAACAAATTTAATAAAAAATTATTTAAATTTAGTTTCTCTTCCTTATAGAAGGTGAAAAAAAACTAAGAAAAAAATGTGCAGTAATCATACAAGTGCTTGAGAGGAGGCGGAGGGATGGGTGAACAAGAAAAAAAAGGAGAAGAAGAAGAAGAGAAAAAGAATGGCTTTGCAAATTTTAAGTTTCGTGCGAATGGTTAATAAGTAACTGAGGAATATAGGGATTAACAGCAGATAATTCTCTAAAATCATTAGTTAATAATTATAAATATACATGAATAACGATTAATCAATAAAAAAATCATATAAACAGTAAATAATCACTCACGGGTAAGAAATAGTTAGTGGGTATAAATTTTTGTCAAGTGGATAGTGCGGATTAGGGGATTTTCTACATATATGACTGACCTGTTTGAACGGAAACATGATTACGGTACACACCATCTCTTATTGGTGGAACAGGTTTGTAAGCATTCCAATTTCGACTTTCCGAATGCTCGGAAGATGATCTACTTGTATAGCATTCTCTCCATTCAGGAAGAGCTTCCAGAAGAAATATTTCCGGTAGATAAGCCTATGATTTAATAAACAATTACAAGTTGTTTAGAAGGCTCTAAGTGGATAATTGTTTAAGATAATAAAAAATGTGTGAAAATAAGAATAAAATGATTAAATATCTTTGAAAAGAAACGTAGGAGGTTAACTGTTATATTATTTTCTATAATTTATGGGTGTTTCTACCCAGAATATTATATTTATCAGCGTCATTAACCTTATAGGAAATCGATTAGTTCGAAAACGGCTAAGTGACGCTTTTTTGTGGTCTTAATCGATCTATGAATACAAATATTCAAACTTACATGAGGAGGTAAAAAATGTTTCACTTTCGTCGAATATTCCTGCCTGAGTTTCACCTGAAAAAAGAATCAAATAGTAATTGATTATCTAGTTGTTAATATATTTTTTATTGAAAGTTTTTAGATAATGTTGAATGTTGTAACTTGAGGATTATAGGACTAGCGTTGCGTAACAACTAAACTGATTATTGGACGATTAACCCTGTTAAGTGCATGAGAAAGCTGTAAAGATATGCTATTGGTAAAATATTTTATATATTTTATACGTTTATCTGTAGAATACCACGTCGTATTCAATACAAAAAGGCCCAATAATCATTCATATAGAGAGTTTGATTACTCTAAACAGTTATCTTATTGTATATTTCGCTTACGAGTATAAATTCAGATATTTATGCCTTTAATTATAAATTTATCTAGTCGTTATAATACACAAAATAGAGATTATAAAGTGATACAAGATCATTCTTAACATTTTTTACGTAATGTGGATTTATCTTTCTCTAAATACTCTAAAAGTTACGAGCACACTTAGGGTATTACTTGAAAATGAGCTTAAAAGTTGTTTAGACAATATAATGGATTATCTTATACTAAAATTTTAATATTTAAAGATACAATTGACGTAGTTTTACAAAATTAAGCAATTGTAAAAATACTAAAGTTAGGTGTAACATATAAAACCTTTGTTAGACATCTTCCAACGCTTTTGAGAAAGATGAATTCCTTTGGAATAATATCTTCATTACCCAACTGAGCTTCTATTTCTTCCCTTAAATTGTAAATGGAAACGTCTGGATGAACTCTGCGTAAAGAATTTAGAGAAAATCATTAAAATAATGAGCAAAAAACAAGGAAAAATATAAGAGAACTTTACTTTCTATTTACTTTTTCGAAAAGTAACTATAAGATTTATATTAAATATTGTTACAGATTAGTGTAAATATAAAAAATCATCAATGAATTGATCATACGAAATCAATCAAATTTTCTTTGTTACTTGCTAAAATAAATGTGACTTTTTAAGTGATTTTTGTATGTAAAATAAGTAAAATATTTGTAAATATTTACTGAAATATATCTATATCGATCGGCTGGGAAAAAATTCTCATTTTGATTATTCAATAAAAACTGGAAGAATTTAGAATTTTTGTCAAATACCTTCTTTCTATTTAATTACTTTGTCTGTTATTAAGTAAAATATATGTAAAAATCAAACAATACTACAAAAGAATACATGTCCAATCAATAAGTTTAGTTCACACTGAAGCTGTTGTACACAAAGTGAAATTGATCCTATATTAAATAAGCTCCTCTATCTAACTGTTCATACACTTATTCAATTCTTTATAAAACCTTAATCAGCTAAGAAAAACTTACATAAACTACTTATTGAATATGGCGTTAATTCTTTTAAAGTAAGACACTAACCTAACATATCCTGCAGAAACTGTTTTTTCAATAACGGCATTATCCGCACTTCGAAGATGACTCCTCCACAGATCAACTGGTACAACATAGATATGTAGATCAGCCAACTGAAAAGAATATAAATTTTCTTATAAGTAGAGTTATAAAAATGAAAATAGAACAACCCGTTAAGAGAGGATTTTTTTATTAGACTATTCATAAAGAAATAGTCCAACACTTGGGAAAATAGGAAAATTTCCCTAAAATATGAAAGCTATCACTTAAAAAAGAACATATATTTATATCTATATCTAACATATAATAGAAATACGAGTAAATCAATTTTTAAGGATTGCACTAGGTTCTTAAAATTTCAATTGATCTGAACAGGAGAACTGAATACAAATAATGAGATATTATCATAACAATTGGTTTAATTAAAAAAATACTACTAATTATTAAGTTATTGACAAAGTGTTTATTATAAAAGTCTATATCAATGAATCTGAATAACTTTTTTGAAGAGTTTATGAAAGACATAGAAGATTTCAATCATTCTAAAACTAATTATTAATATAAAACAACTCTTTAATTTATTAATTATTAAGTATTTTATTATAGCTAATTAAATGAACATTCATCTACTCACCATTTCAAAGAAATGATAATTAAATTGTTCAGAACGAAAATGCAATACAATTCAAAAGTTTTTTTAAAAACAATTATCACCAGGCAACAGCATGGCTTCGTAAATAAGTCAAATAAAACCGTCCAATCTAATTCATGCATAATATTTACACGAGGTTGTTTAACGTCGAATAAGAACCTTTTCTTAATAAGAAAATCCAATAAAATCTAACGAACGTAACATATCACAAAAAAGTGTTTTTGATAGAATTTACATTGATAATCTGACCCTCATGTTTAGGGTTATTAATGAGTTATAAGAATTAGTATATGTGAAAATTTTTCTCTATAGTAAGAGAGTGTAATTCATCTTGTTTCGTATATAGAAAATAGTAAATATCGCATTTCTCTTTTATATGAAAGAGATTTTCACAGAAAATAATTTTAGAGAGGAGTTGATGAAGAGATAAAATTGTCTTACATTCATTGTCTGTCTTGTATATCTACAAGAATAACAGTTATCTGTTATTTACTTGGGCATTTTGAACATTGAAGTCTCTCTTTTAAACGCAAGTCTTTGTATTTTGACATAACTGATAAGCATTTTAATGAAATATGTTATCTTCTGATTGATTTTAAAAGAAAATACACTCCAATACTAGCTTCTGGATTTTAAAAGATAATTTTCTTAGATACTACGTAAAACAAAAGCTCTTAACGCTCTTAAATTAGCTCTTCCGTATGATTAAGTTTACTATAAAGTTAAGTTGATGAACAGTAGGCCTACCTGACCGGAAGGAGGTCTAAATTTCTGGCGTTTTTCATAATCCTCAGTTGTCGTGGGCATATTACCAGTTGAAAAGCAGAGAGCAATCTGCCGTTGTCATGCAAAGATAGCTAAACAAATGAATTATCACGTGACCACCTGCTCGATTTGCATAACAAACTTTGTCACTGCAGATCAATCCGTCCATTCAAGTTGATTATTGTTAGCGATTCGGATCAACATATTGTATAGTCTAAAACATTAAAATATATACACAAAAATGTGGAAAAGGTATATTAGTCCGCTCTTATAAAGTATTTCATATTTCTATATCGCTATCTACAAGTGTTTTGCTTTTACTCAGCAAATTCCTGTTAATACCAATAACATACGATAAACTACCATTATCTTTTAGAGGACGATCTAGATATTGATATTTTCGTTTTACTAATAAATGGTGTCGCCATCTTACGAACTTTATTAATTATCCGTAGTATTTTATAGTAAAAATAAACTTTTAGATTGTTCATATGTCCCGTTTTCGTTTTACTCGCATATCTCATTCAAAGATCACAACTCGTGGCTGTTTTTAAACAAATTAACCAAGTGAAATCTTTTAATAGAATTATAATATTTCCTTTTCTTTATTTACTTGATAAACATATCTAGAATAGTTTAACATAGTCAAACGCTATAAATTATATATTTATATATAGATATAGATATCCTCTCAAGTTTATATCTAAATAGAAACTACGACTTAACACGGTAGATGTCCTTACAGTCAAAAATTAGAAAAATATACAGTATCTGGTACCCAAATGGCTTATTTCTTTAAAAGAGCATATTTGTGTTAGGCCTGTATACAATCTAAATTGCAAAAGTGACATAAGTTTATACAAAGCTAGACTGCTTTAAAGAAAAGCTATTTACAAAGATTTTCTTGAGAGAAAGCACATTCACATATTATTTGTAGATACGATTAAAATCATTTTTCAGGGATTAGTTTAATGAGCTACTTTTAAGAATTGTATGTAATTTATATGAAATTAACACGAGTTCGTTTTTTTAATTTAACAAAGCTTAGTTTTAAATTAATCTGAAAAATTAACAAAATAAATAGAAATTATATATTTATATTAATTAATAAGTTAATTAACTAATTTTAAAACATTGATTTTATTTCGTTTTTATTAAATTATTCAAACAATTTATATTAAAGTCCAAAAAAAATTAATTATGTTTGTTAGGGAGATTTGTTTTTTAAATGTTATGTTGATTTTTTTTTCTAGATGATCAAAAGCAAAGTTCATAAATCAACTTTAGATTTATAATAGGAATATTAAAAAAAATGGAAATATAGATGGGTGGATAGAGAGATAGATAGATAATACATAGATAGATAAATAGAGAGAGAGAGAGAGAAAGAGAGAGACTATGAACGAGAAAAAACACAGACATATGAAGAATACAAAAAAGTTCAATGTATTACTGCCCATTTTATAATAATTTAAAGTGTTCCAACCTGATTCTGTTTCACAATGTTTCGTTGTACAGAATAGAAAAATTATGAATATAAAGTTTAAATAAAAATTATATTCACAGCTCTACGTAATATTTACAAAGTTTATAAGGCAAAGTTTATCCTTGGCATTATATTTTATGAAGATGACAGTGAAGTATACATAACACTCAACTGAGTTAAAATAAAATAAAATTTTTTTATGTGCATACTATATCATGGTTAATAAGATGTGTGGGTGGGAAAACTATATTGTTATTTTATCGAACAAAAGATTAATAGTCGGGTAACATTAATTATTTGAATATATTCTAATAGTTATCTACTTTCAAAAGTAATTCCCCAAATTTATCACTCCCTCTTATGTCTGCTATACGATACTCGTAGTTTGCCAGTCAAGTCAAGGTTATTATCTTTTTTATGAGAAAAGGAAAACTTTATATTGAGATATTAGTGCTAATATAATAATCGATAACCTGTATTCAATTGTCTATTCAGATTGTTTATGATCCATTTGACGTCATTAAGTAGATATTTCGAATTGCTAGAGATTGGCGGTAGGTCTATAGATTTTATTAAGTATCAATTCTTTTACCTTATAGGCCTATCATTCTTAACTTTGCATCCTTTACTGTTCTTGCTTATTGTAATCCCGTAATTTCTTTTCAACTTTGGTAAAACAATATAACAAGCGAAGAAAGGCAAAAGTTGCCTTAAGGATACTAGAGAAGGCGGAAAGAGAAAAAAATAAAAATGCGTATTGTATCTGATATCCTTTATCGTTGATCAATCAATTATCTCGTCTGTCATTTGTAAAATTATTAAAATAAACTGAAATCTCCTATTTTGTTGACAGAATTCCATTATCTTTCTATTTTTTAGAATAGAAATCTTAATTCAATTTTTATCGAAAGTTTATATTCACTTAAAAAAAGTCTCTTATTTGCATATTTTATGTTAAATATAGTGTTAAAACTTTTTTTCCCTCTATAAGAATATAAGGGAAAATTCCATTTTTTTCAGCCTAATTTCCAGCTTGAATTTAGTTTTTTTTTCTTTATATGATGAAACAATTTAACTAACCAGTACAAAAAGTTATCCAATTGCCGTTTAGTAAGATAAAAATGGCGCCACCTAGTTTTCCCTACAATTATAAGGCACAAATTTCAATTATCAAATATATTTTTGCAAGTATTTTATTTTGGGTTTAAATCATGAAAATTTTCCGAAAGTTTTAAAATCTTAAAGAAAAGAAAAGTAAGATTTTTTCTTTGTTATTTTATATATTTTTTTGTATTAATAGAGTTCTTTACTTAAACACTAATTAATTAATTAATTAATTTTACAGGAAAAATGAATAAATTACTTATCTGTTTATATTTGGTTACTGGATTTTTTATTTCTGGTTTGTAGATTTTGCATTATGTTAATTCAAGTAATAGAGAAACTTTTAAAAGCTTCAAGTCTACTTAAATTTTGACTAATTTGCATAATTAGGGAGGGAAATTCAGAGCAATTTCTTCTCATATTATCAGTTGATTTTAGGGCATAAACAAAAGCAGATTGTTTAGACTATGTGTAAATATTTGATAGATTGTAACTATTTTTACTTACAGGATCTAAGTTCTTATCAGGGTGAATATTCACTTTTGATTTATGGGCTAACCACAAAGAACTGGAAAACTTTAGACAATAAACAGAATTGCAGTTGATAAATAACCGGATTTTAAAATTAATGTTAAGATAAGCTTTACTTAAAGCTTTTATCTGTAAACATAAACCATTCCTAACTATATCCGTATTTCCTTTTCCGCTGCCTATATACTCCCTTATCAAACTGTTTCAGATATTTGTAAACAAAATAATTAGCGCTTATTTATTTATAAAATTTACCTTCTTTGATATTTGTTTACCTCAATTTGTTTGTCATAAAACAGGTGCTAAGCCATTTAAAAACGAATCTGTACAATTCCCTGTTTATCAAACGACCCTCTCTTGATTTATTATTCTTCGGTTTATCCGCTTATCTTTTAATTTATCTTGAAAGGTTGTCGAGATATCTCAATTTTATTTTAGCAACATCCCTGTTAAGTAACACTTATCTTCTATTAATTTATATATTTTTATGTAATAATGGTCAATATTTGACGATATTTAATCCATATATATTATATTTCTATCTGCCACATTAATATCTTTAATATTGAACATAATGACAAACTTTTAGAACAACCTGTTCCATTCTATTTTTAAATTTTCAGTATAGTAATTTTTCTACAATATTACTGTTCATTTAAATATTAAAATATCAAATTACTGTAGTAATAGACTATTAAAAAATATAAGAGTATTATTCTTAAAATATATAAGATAATTTCGTACCTGGAAAGAAATTATGTACGCATTCCTTAGAAAAGTGATAAGATCAGTTTAAATTTGGTTAAATCAAAGGTAAACTATCTAAAATTTAGAAAAGATTCAATTTTAACTCCAAAAATAATCGAAAGATGAGGAAGAGGAAGAAGGGGGAGGAAATGAGCTGTTCAACTAAGCATTGCTTAATTTATAGTTTTATGTCTTTAATTAGAAATAAAGTTCTACTATCATATATACATTTCTGTAATCTTTATAATGATACTTATAAACAGAATGCAAGTATTTTTAAATGTGAAAGCATGACCTCTTTTCTAATATAGCAACGTTTTAAAAATTACTAGGAAAAGGTTCTAGTTTTATTTCCTTTATATTTTTACGACAGAATGCATAAGTTTTCCAAGTAAAAGTAATCATAACTGCCTCCTTATCCGTATATTGTCATCAACAGTAACATACTTGTTTTTAAAGTATATTTCTTTCTTTATTTGTCCTTGGACCACCCAGCTTAATAGAGAGCATAACTTAACAAACTGAATGGTTTGTAAGTTATATAAACATAACCTATATAAAATGAAATAGGCACTTGTCTTTCTTATGATCTTGCTTAATTTAGTATTGGAATTGATAATTGTTAAAATCTATTTCTTTTAGAATCTTTGGCATCATCTTGTCAATTAGGAGTTGAATTGGATGAAAAATCTGTAAATGGGTCGAGAGAACTTTTAGTAAATTGGGATTCTTCGAATAAAGTATCAAATTTCTCATTCATTGTAGAAGTTGATGCCTCTCAAGATATAAATATAGCTGATATATTTGTGTTACAAGATGACTTCTCAGTTCGTATGATTAGGGGGAGGGAAGGAAATGAATCCCTAGAATTTATCAATGGCATTGATGTAGATATCGAACCTAGCAGTGAAAAGATAAGAAAAGTCATTACAATTGATAAAATTAATAATCAAACTACGGTATTTGATTGCTTGTCTCAAAAAAATGTTTCAATAAGTTATCCATCGGATTTCATAAGCGATAACAATAATTTTACAATATTTATCCCGAACTACGTAAGATTTTCTATTCATTTAATTCATATTCTATTTGTTTAATTCTTATTCTCATATTCATAGATTAAAGTTGATCGAATAGCAATTCACAACGCACTCTATTCTAGAGATGATTTTTGTCAGGTTAGTTGTAATCTTTCGTGACTCCC